CCAGGCAACTTAGTGACCTCTTTTCCAAAATTAAACATTTTTTTTAAATAAAGGAGCTGGGAATATAGCTGGTGGTACAGTATTTACCTAGCAGGTGTGAGACCATAGATTCAATCCCAGTAACACACACACACACACACACACACACACACACGGATACAGAACCAGTGTCAGAGAAATGTTTGCACTCCTCATCTTATCCAGCCCAATTGAAACAGCCAAAATATGAAATTAACCTAAATATCCACTCACAAATGAATAGTAAACATGGCTCATATACACGATGGACTATTAGTCAGCCATGAAAAGGAGCATCCTAGCTGGGCATGATGGTGCACACCTTTAATCCCAGCTCTCGGGAGGCAGAGGCAGACAGATCTTCGTAAATTCAAGGCTAGCCTGGTTTACAAAGCAGATTCCAGGGCAGCCAGGGCTCTGTTACACAGAGAAACCCTGTCTTGGAAAACAAAACCAAAAGGAGTATCCTCTCTTTTACAACGCAGATGAACATAAAGGACACTGTTAAGTCAGATTAGCCAGACACAGAAAGACATTATGTCACTCTTATTTGGAGTGATTTGAATGTCTCCATAAGTTCATATACTTGAATGCTTAATCACTAGGGAGTAGAACTCTTTGATTGCTAGGGGGAAAAGTCATATTTCATTAAGGATACATCTCTTGGTAGGTCAACCATTCTTGGGTGGATGGCACTACACCCTAGAGTATAAGGGCAGTACTAACTGAACTCTTTGGGTGGGGTTGCTTTGTTTTGTTGTTTTTTTTTTTTAAGAAAATAAAAGAACAGTCAGGGACACACCTTTAATCTCAGCACTTGGGAGGCAGAGGCAATCGAATATCTGTGAGTTGGAGGTCAGCCTGATCTACATAGTGTGTTCCAGGATAGCCAGAGAAAGATACCCTTTCTCTGGAGTAGAAGAGGGAGGAGGAAGAGGAAGACAAGGAAAAGGAGAGGAAGAAGAAGAAAGAGAAGAAGAAGAGGTGGAAGAGGACTTGAAGTTGGGAAAGAGGAATAAGGAGGGTATCTGGGAGGAATTAGGGAGAAGAGCAGAGGTGAATGTGATCAAAATACACGTATGTATGTATGTATGTATGTATGAAATTCTCTAAGATTTCATTAAAATACATTTTAAAATAATCAGAAACGAACCCTTATTTTTCACATGAATTTGTGTCTTTAAAGGCACACCACATCGCTTTTCTCCCTTTGACGTTTTCTACACCCAGTTGATATAAAGGAAGTAACTATGTAATATATCATCTTCCTTTGTGCTCCCTGGAGCCCTAGGTGATAAGGAGGCTGCTTTAGTTCCATGTGAAGCAGAAGCCTTGTAGGATCCCTTGAGAGATGTCATCCAGGAAGCTCACAGACACAGATTTGTAAGGAAAGAGAGCCAGGCATTCAATAAGAACAGTGATATTTGATGTGGATATTTGATAGGGCAGCACTATTGCTCTTATATCACACTTCCAGGAAAGATTTTGCCTCATCTCAGACCATTCTTATATCCTAGCTATTCTAGTCAGTAGCACCTGGTATACCCCAGGCTGGTCTCAAATTCCCTACATGTTGCTGCTTTTCCAAAGGCCACATCAGCACCAGGGACCCCAGGTAAGACCCCACCTTATGCCCTATACCCACCAAGTCCCCTTACAGCACACCTATCAGATGCAAACTGCACCTCATCACTTGGGTTCTATATTCTGGGCCAGAACATTGGCAGAAGACCTGTGCTTTCCTGAGGCCACGCCTGTTCTAGGAACCCTAGAGTCAACATTAGTACCCAAAACCCCAGAGGTCATGCAGGCCACAAAAGAAAAGGAGGGAGGGAGGGAGGGAGGGAGGGAGGGAGGGAGGGAGAGAGAGAGAGAGAGAGAGAGAGAGAGAGAGAGAATATCAAACAAAACCACATTTGAGACATTGTACTGTATCTGAAGACTCAATGTTCACCAGAATTCCAGGCTACTCAGGCCAGAAGACAAAAGAAAAAAACAAAAACCAAGGCAAGAAACATGTATAAAATACCCATCTAACAAAGATGAACTCAGAAATCAGCACCTAAACCTGTAATAATCCCCAAATTCAGATGCCTAGAGGCCAGCATAAGAACGCAATCAACAACAGCCAGGGCAATATGGCATCACCAAAGCCCAGCTATCTAACTACAGCAAGCCTTGGAAATTGCAACACAAAGCACAAGAAAATGATCTTAAATCCAATCATATGAAGATGATAGAGGCCTTTAAAGAGGAAATGAATAAATCCCTTAAAGAAATACAGAAAAAAATTCAATCAAACAGGTGAAAGAAATGAATAAAATTGTTTGAGACCTGACAATGGAAACAGAACCAGTAAAGAAAACACAAACTGAGGGAATCTTAGAGATAGAAAATCTAGAGAAGAGAACAGGACCAACAAACACAAGCATAACTAACAGAATACAAGAGATAGAAGAGAGACTCTCAGGCATAGAAGACAGGATAGAAGAAAATGATTCATGGGTCAAATAAATTTTTAAATATAAAAAGTTCTTGACACAAAACATCCAGGAAATCTGGGACACTATGAAAAGACCAACCCTAAGAATAATCAGAATAGAAGAAAGTAAAGATTCCCAGCTCAAAGGCCCAGAAAATATTTTCAACAAAATGACAGAAAAAATTTTCCTAACCTAAAGAGATGCCTATAAATATACAAGTTATAGAACACCAAATAAATTGGCCCAAAAGAAACACTACTCCTACTACCCCCACCATGTCACACACACACACACACACACACACACACTACCACTACCAACATCGAAATATCAAGAATTAACAATCATTGGTCATTGATATCTTTCAACATCAGTGAACTCCAAGCAAATGGACCAAAGAAACAAACTAGTGTAACCATTGTAATATCTAGTGAAAGATTCTTCCAACCAAAATTAATAAAAGAGATGAGGAAGGACACTTCATACTCATCAAAGGAAACAAATCCACCAAAGTGACATCAATTCTGAATATCTATGCCTCCAATACAAGGGCACCCACATTCATAAAAGAAACATTTCTAAAGCTTATATCACACATTGAACCCCACACATTAATAGTGAGAGACTTCAACACCCCAGTCTCACCGATGGACAGGTCATCTAGACAGAAACTAAAAAGAGAAATAATGGAACTAACCAACACTATGACTCAAATAGACATAACAGATAGCTACAGGACATTTTACCCAAACACACACACTCACACACTCACACACTATGTATATGTATATCACTATATAATATGTCCACTCTTTCCCATATATATATATATATATATATATATATATATATATATATATATATCTTCTTCCCAGCACCTGGCAGAACCTGGTCAAACTCCCTATGTCACTGATAATGAATGACCTAGGATTGGCTCCTCCAGCCCTGACCCCCGAGGACTGGGATTCCAGGCATGCGCTACCAGGACTTCATGCATGCTAGACAAGATCTCTACCAACTGAGCCACATGTCACCCAGTACCCCTAGCTCGTAATGCTGGTGAAGCTGCCCAGTCCCTGTTGTCATTTAGTTCATCCCCAAGCTCCAAAAGTCTCAGTAGAGACCTCTAGAGCCCTGGGAGAAAGTATCTTCTCGGGCCATCTCAGTGCTAACTCATTTTCTGAAATCCTTATTCTGGAAAATAGTCATTTGAACTGAAATTACATTAAGACACAGAGCATGGATTTTAAGCCGATTGGCAAAATGCCCAATTTAGAGCAAAGGAAACAAGGTGGTTCCCACCTTGGAAACAGGAGCCCAGATCTCAGCTTGAGTATGCCTTCACCCTAGACAACTAGCAGAACGAGAGGAATGTATTTTGTAACATTTGAGACCTCCTCAGCTCCAGCTTTATGCTCCTAAGGAATACTCATCAACTGTCCAACGCCACTGTGGAGGCCTCCCTCCCACCCCATGCCATTCTCTTCTCTCTCTTTTCCTGCCCAACTCAGCACACTCCATTCGGCCTTAGCATCGCCAACCTAACCCAGAACCTATAGCTAGCTCCATTTTAATTGTCTCTTCCCACAGCTACAACATGTCATCATGACCACGTGCTTTTGCAATGCCTCGCTGCTCAGAAGTCTAAGTGATTGTCATCTCCTAAATTCACATTCAGTCCCCTTGGCTGTGGCGAGAAGGGCATCATCTGGAAGAAAAGAGGTAAGATGAACGTGTCTTTGGCCATTTGTGTTTTCTCAGTGCTCCTTCATTGAAATGTCGGTATTCGGAGACAGAGAAATCTTGTCCGGGCCTGATAGATACACTGGCTTTTGCTCCAAGGCAGGAAACAGTTGAGACAACCCGAAAACAAAGTGGACTTCTCTCTGGCAGCAAGTTCAGTCTGTGGTGGGAACAGTGTTCCATAGATAATGTGGATTCCCTAATCCCCACTACCCAGGCCCAAGAAATTTAAAAGAAAATTTTCTCCAATGTTTTTTTCATCCTAAAAAATACAAAAGATTACACTGTAATGCTTCTATTCTCTTTTTCCATCAGATTTGTCCCCGCAGTGGTCCCTCTGCATGCACACTATCAGGTAAAGGGGTGCTCCCTACCTACCACCTTTTTAATGCCTCAAGAACTTTTTCCAGAGAAGACACTAAGTGGGTCACTTCCCTCTTCTAGCTTTGCTATAAATTCTCTGTGCGTACTTGTCCCGTATTCTATTTTCAAAATCAAATGGCCAGCTTAATTCCCCCGGAGGCCTTGACTACATCCAGTTAAGGTCACGGTCAGGACTTGAAAGCGGTTCTCTCCCTCCTGCCATACCCCATAGGCTCTTTTTTTTTCCTCTCTTTTTTTTTAATCCATCCCTCAGCCCTCCCTCCCTTTTCCTCTTCCCTCCCCTTCTTCTTCAATAGCTCTGTGTTGTAAAGGGCCTGGCCACACACAGAGAATATTACAGGAATAAAACCTGGAAGAGAGCACACAGTTATGAAACATTAAACCTCAACTTCTCTTTATTTTGCTCCCTGGATATTCCTCCCCCTCGGAGAAAACTTGAGCCTCGGCAGATTTGCGGTTCATGTTATCTTCAGCTGTAAAAGCCAGCTGAACCAACAGAGCGCCCCTTCTCAGCTTCCTGCTGTCCAGAGGTTTGCAAAGGAACTACTGTAAGGAACCAGTCCCCTCTGGCTTTATGGACAACCTTTTCAGAGGAAACATTAAACTGCCATCAGTAGACAAAGACCTCCATAGACTATCGAGCTCTGTTCACGGCCGATCTGTTAACATCAGTCCTGTGCCTGGCCGGGGAGAAGGACAATAAGAAGGTCAGGGTCTCATATCGCCTGAACATTGCCTTTCAAAATAGAGTTTAAAAAAAATGTCCAAGGGTCCTCCCACTGCTTCAATCAGCTCCAGCCTAAGGAGCTCAGGGGGAATTTGGCCTGAGGATAGAAGGCCACATCAGACATTGATTCAGTTAGCCAACCCTTTTCAAGGTGTCACCCATTAATTTATTGACTGCAAATAAGAATTTTGCCCAAGGCCAAAACTCACAATTGGTCCCAGTTGAGCTGAAATGGATTTTCTACAAGTGGCTAGGGAAAGGGAGGCTTCTCTTCAAAATGTCTCTTCTTTGGTCCACTCTCTCTTTCTTTATCCCCTCTCTGGCTTCATCCCATTAATAACCGAGCACTCAAAGAGCTTCATTAGTTGGTGGCATGCAAACAGCTGCTCAAAGGATTTGAAAGTGGATTGATCCCAAGCTGCTGGTGTAGACGCTCCACGTCAGAAGTGACTGTTGGGAGCTTGCTGGCTGCCCCTCAATTTGGACATTACTCTGTTTTTTTTCCCTCTCCATTTCATCCTAGTAAGAGAAAAGATAATATTCTTATATAGTGGCTCTGTATATTTTTCTAGAAGTCTTGGTTTTCATATACAAAAATTATATAATACAAAATAAATTTCAAACACGAAATGATTACACTTATACCTGCTGTGCCTATCTAACATGTAAGCTACAAAACAGAAAAGATTCTCTAAATATTATAATCATTTTCTAGATGCCATATGTAATAGAGAGGTGATGGCCATCTTATGTAGCAAGAGAATGGACTACGGTTTTACAGACATTAAACCATAATTCTCCTTAGCTCTTAAACTGTGGGACAATTTATTAGATTATCTTAGGCCTGTACCTAAATTCAAACTGCTTTTGTATGACTTGAAGACTCAAACGCTAGAAGGAATTATCTCAGGAAACAATTACATAGGTATACACGGAGGCCTATTTAAGGATGGGGTATTTGTTCACAGTGTCATGAAACAACAAGCCAAAGGGAAGCTGTTAACTGAACAGCTATGGATGCTGTGATCTGTGTCTCGGGTCTCTACAAGCAGTTCCAAGGAATAGGAATGTATTCTTACATATCTTTAAAGTCATAGCAGTTTTTAAAAAAACTATTATCTTTAGTGCAAAAAGCACATAAAAGCAATACTATATTGTTCTACCTAGAGGAGCTGTAAAGAAAGCAGTGGGCCTAGCTGGGGGGTTTAACTCAGCTGTAAAGTAATTGCGTATCCGGCACAAGACCTTGGATTCCCTAAAATGTAAGAAAGCTTGGTGTCAGTTAGCTGATGGATACAAAGTCCCACTGGAGAGGATGGTAATAGGTAGTAAAGAGGGAGTTTAGCCTTCTGTGTAATACAATCTCACTTTGTCTTAGTTAGGGTTTCCATTGCTGTGAAGAGACATCATGACCAAGGCAACTCTTAGAAGAGCAACATTTAACTGAGGCTGGCTTACAGGTTCGGAAGTTCAGTCTGTTATCATCAAGGTGGGAGCATGGCAGTGTCCAGGCAGACATGGTGCAGGAGGAGCTGGGAGTTCTACATCTTTTCCCGAAGGCACAGAAGACTGGCTCTTGTGGTTAAGAGGAGGATCTTATTGCTAGGTAACATACTTACTCCAACAAGGCCACACCTACTCCAACAAGGCCACACCTCCTAATAGTGCCACTCCCTAGGCCAAACATATTCAAACCACACATCCTCATTTGTTTGTTTTGAGACAGTCTCCCAGTGTCACTTAGAATGACCTAGAACTCATGGCAATCTGTCTGCCTTAACCTTCCAGTTGTTGGCATTACAGACATGAGCCACCCTTCCAGTGTCTGATTTTGTTTTTTAATATGAACAAACAATTTGTTACTTTCATAGTTCATAAATGAGTTCTTTCAAATAGTTAAATGGCAGCTTTAAAGAAAGCCTGTCTGAAAGCCTTGATTTGGGGCTGGAAAGATGGTTTAGCAGTTAAGACCGTTTACTGCTAGACACACATTTGGTTCCATCACCCACATGCCAGCTCACAACCAGGAGATCTCATACCCTCAACATGCTCTTCTGGCCTCTGCAGGCACCAGGCATATATGTGATACATATACATATGTGTCCTCATAATCATAACATAAAACAACACAACATAACATAAATAAGTTTTTGTTGTTGTTTTTTAGGGGGGAGGGTTTGGGACTAGGGCTTCTCTGTATAGCCCTGGCTGTCTTGGAACTCACTCTGTAGACCAGGCTAGCTTTGAACTCAGAAATCCACCTGCCTCTGCCTCCCAAGTGCTGGGATTAAAAGCATGCAACACCACTGCCCGGCTATAAATACGTTTTTTAAGTGATGTAAAAGCATGATTTATTGTATTGCATTCTTTAGAAAAAGCCCAGTGTTGCTCAGAAAAATCAGTTAAGCTTGCTAAGTGTTGTTTATTAGCAAAGTACTGTCTCAGAGAGCTTGGTTTTGAACTAAATTTCATCATGTAATAAAGTATCACCTCCCTTGCTTCTCATTCTTTCTTGGGTTCCAACTGGCTCTAAGAGACAGCACTCTAAAATAGCAAGGCACCTTAGTCTTCATTTGAAGGTAAGAGTTCTTATTTATTCCAGTTAGACTCCAGGTACTCTGACAGTGGTTCTCAACCTTCCAAATGAGGCAACCCTTTAATACAGTTCCTCATGCTGTGGTGACCCTCAACCATGAAATTATTTTTGTTGCTACTGCATAACTGTAATTTTGCTACTATTATGAATCATAATGCAAATACCTGATATGCAGGATATCTGATATGCATCCCCAAGGGGTCAAGATCCACAGGTTGAGAACCACTGGTAGAAGAGTCCTTTCTGGCCAACTGGGCCAAATTCCTCACAGTGACGTCAACAGAGTGAAGCAACTGCTTTCCTGGAGCAGGCTGTATCTCTTCTCTGGGGACATGGTCTCTAACTGCATTATCCAGGGAAAATTAAAAATTCACCTCACCTCTGGGGAAGTCAGTTTCTTCAGACTCTGTCTGCCTGTCTCTCTCCACCCTCCTGCTCCTTACTTCCAAATCCTAGTTTTCTCTATCTTTCTGCATTTCTGTTCCTTTTCAACTCCCATTTTCTTCCTCACCATACTCGTGACTCTCTAGAAGGATGTTCTACAAAGTAAATTTTTGAGATGAAAAATTTCAGTAATACCAATAAATAATAATCTTTAAAACTCCAAAAGGTTAAATCCAAAAGGTAGATTCCCTTTTAATGAATCTTTTTTTTAACCTTGCTTTTATGTCGTTCCTTTTATCTCTTCATCAAGGAAGTTGTATTCCACCAAGCCTCGGGGTATGATAAATAACTTACCAGGACGCTTCCCTGCACCTTCCTCTCTGACAGGATGACTCAACCCCGATCGTATTGTCTTACATTCTTTAAATGATTTCCTGCAGGGCTGCCCCACTCCTGCCCCTCCACACATCCAGAAAACGACTGAAGAGAAAATGCTTAGAAATGACTCATCTGATTTCCTCATGAGAAACGGCACAAGGAAAAGATGCTAACACTCCGGCGATATGGAACCTTCCAGGTTAAGTAGTTCCTCTCTCCCAGTGAACCAACCTAAAGAAGAAAGGCCCGTGGCCCTGTGGACTGAGAGACCAGCACAGAGCTGTCTGCCTGGCCCACCTGCATAAAGAAACATTTCTAACTAACTGTGCTTCAGAAGAAGTGGAATTCTATAAAGAGACGTTTCTCAGGTACTGAGTCCCTCCTTTGAACTTGAGCCTTTTGGCATTTCATTTGCATCTGTTTAAACAGACACAGGACCAGCATTTATCAGCCCAGCCTCTGTGAGCAGGGCCTTCTCACTTCTGCACTTTGAAAGGAAGCTCTGGTAAAAATACGATTTTTTTTTTTTTTTAATACCTGACAGGCTATGACTTGTAAAAACACAAAATCAATCGAGTTTCATTTGAACCATTCTTTGGCTCTCAGAAACCTTTGATAAATCTCAGATGAAAATTCCCCTGTCCCTCGGAAGCTCGGGAAGGCCACTGAACACTTTGATTTTTTTTTTTTTGACTCTGTCACGTAATTGGAGCGGCGATTTTATCGATTTTATCTGGGTCAGCGGATTTATTAATCTTCTTTTCTAGCCAAGTAACTTGACCGGATATAATTTAGAAATGATTACAGTTACTGCGACTGGGCAGGGGCCATAGGGTACCAAAGTCAACACTTTTGACAATTGTTGCATGATCATAATAAATATTCAGTTAAGTTGGGAAAATTAGAAAACAGAATGCCCTTCCTCCCCAACCCCGCCCCCAGCTTCTAACTGACTGATGTGATTGGTTTCCTTGCTTGAGCCGCAAGGGAGAGAAGATGAATCCACTCTACATCTTTAGCGAGAGAGATCTTTCTGGAATACAAGTATTACGTGGTCTAACCCCGCCTAGTCCTAACCCTGGGATATCACCTCACGGTGTATGATAGAAGAACGAAGCACTCACTTTAGCATATATGATCTCTTAAGTCCTTCTAGAACATTATTTTTTCAATCTTACTAATGCTTTGACCCTTTTAATACAGTTCCTCCTGTTGTGGTGATCCCCCAACTATGAAATTATTTTCACTGCTACTTGATAACTGTAATTCTGCTACTGTGCTGTTATGAATTGTAACACAGATATTTTTTGAAGATAGGAGTTTGGCAAAGGGGTCTGGACCCACAGGTTGAGAATCACTGTTCTAGTCCCGTTTCCTGCCCCCTCACGAGTTCTGCTACTTGAATGACTTTACTTATTTACAAGTAGGAGTCACCCGCTTCCCACTTGCTTCCTGGCTTTTTAGCATGACAGCCTATCAGAGGAGTCAGTCAGCGGGTTCTACTGGCGTTTTAGAGCTCACTTCCTCTAGAATGTTTACAAGTTCACCGAATTTCACCTACCATCTGAAATCTCTTCTCTCTATTTGTCTGGAGAACAGGAATGTGTTTTAGGCCTCAGCACTGATCTGTTTTACGACATATTCATAAACGTATTCCACATATTTTTCTCCACTGTATTTATCCCTCTCTGGAATCAAGGTTGAGAGCACACGTATTGGTTTATGGCACCTAGCACCATTCGGCCCACATTGTCGGCTTTCAAGAAATATTTGTGTAACGAAATATATTTGTAAAACCAAACATAGGGACCAGCAGGCACTCAAAATTAGCGTTAGGCACCACAACGAAATGCACAGCCATTATATACCATTGAGCAGCGGAGGGAGGGGCTAGAAAAACAGTCAGCAGTTAAAAGCCCTTGCTGCTCTTGCAAAGGACTGGGTTCCAGTCCCAGAATTCACGCAGCTGCTCATAGGCAGCGGTAACTCTAGTTCTAAGGGATCCGGTGCCTTCATGGTCTCCTCAGGCACCAGGCACACAGACAGACAGACAGACAGACAGACAGACAGACACATAAAATCTTTGAAAAACAAAATATATCTTAAAAAAAAAAAAGGAAAGGAAAGATAGCCTTCAAGGATGCGCCGATGTTAGAGATTCCTCTGGTTGATTCAAGCAACATATCTACCCACAGCCGTTTGGCAAACTCCTCTCACACATCCACACAAAGGAAAACGGTATCTGAAGAAACAGGTTCACTCTCCTAAGCTTGACACCCAGAGTCTAATTCTGAGTTAGGTACGTCATCACTGCCTGTGCCTCCAGAGTGTTGAGGGGACAGTGTTTCTGCAAAGAGCTTCCTTTTTAGCAGTGGCATTTACTCTCAGGCCACAGACATCAGTGCTAAGACATCAGCCCCCAACAGAATACTAGATACCAGACAATGATTGTTCTTCCAGTGGTCCAGAAGAGATCAGTGGACAGGAACGTGAAGAGTCTCATTATGCGAGCCAGTAAAAACAACCAACGCCAGGGCGGCTTCTGGCTGACAGTAACTGTGAGCTGCCTCAATGGGGAATCATCATAATTTTAAAGTTAATAAAATATGAATAAATGTCTGCCATCAGATTGACGAATATGATATGTGCTTAGCAAATCCCACTGTGAATGGGGAAGATGGCGAGATGAAAACAACCTAGGAAAATAGTTCTGGGGAGTCCCTCCTTAGAGTACAGATGAGTCTGTACTCAGCCACATCTGTAATCTCAGCACTTGGGAGGGAAAAGTGGGAGAGTGGAGAGTTCAAGGCCATTCTCTGCTACTAGTGAGTCAGAGGCAGCTTGAAATACAGGAACCTGGGGGCTAGGAGCAGAAGGAGGGGAGAGAGGAAGGGTCATGCATACGAGGCAGAAAGAAGACTAGATTTTACAGAGCAAAGGCTAAGAATTAGAAGTCAACTTAGCTCCTGTCAACTGAAGAGTGATTCTTATTAAACCAGGTATGTGTGTGACGAAAAGTCACCAATTAAGCCTGTGAACCTAAGCAGCTCTCTGTCATCTGCTAATGCCTGGGCCAGCCGAGCTGCCTCACACTAGCTCTGATAGGCACCCAGTGTGACCGCCCCGGCTCCATCACTCTCCTGAGACACGAGAAATGTGGGTGGTTGGTACTGAGGAAGAAGTTGAGGAAAATACCACAGATAGTCTAACAGAAACAGGGCTAATTCCTAAAGGAATAAAACATCCATTCACTCACACAGGTCCCTGTGGATTTCAAAGGGGGAATCCGGTGTGTTGTCTCCCAATTTTAGAAGGGCAACCTGCTGAGGGGGCCCAGGAGCAAGGTCTACCAGTTGCCAATGTGTCATAGGCACCCACCAATGAGATTGTTCTTAGCACCCGCATACCCCAGTCACCTGGATAGTGGAGATGGTAATGTCCATATGGAAAGGAGAATGCTTTAGAGTTTTGTCTGTTTTGTTTTGTTTTTTAAAATACTAAAAGGAACAGTTTCAGGCTGATAGCCAGGCTCATTTTACACAAGCGAAAGCCCTGGCTTTACAATTGGCTCTCTGTTGAAACGTGAGCATCCTTACTAATTCCATGAGCTGGACTTGGAGCTGGACATTGGAAGATTTACTCACCTGTTGATGGCCAAAGTGGATATTAACTCCCTCCGACTCCAAAGAGAAGCCATAAACCCTTTAGAGAGAACAGAGTGTGGTGTCTCAGTAGAACCCATTCTGCTGGCCTGTTTCCTTCCTCTCCCCAGGACTGGCATCCCAGCAGGCATAGAATGAAGGGCCCAGGGATCCCACCAAGTTTGGTGCCTCAGAAAACTGTTCTTATCTCTTTAGAAATCAAAAGGGAAAAGTGGAACTTTTGAACAGAGAGCATACTTCAAGGTACAATGTTGAACACTCATTATTACAATGAGGACACACACTTTTAATTTAATTTTTTAAGGAAGAGGTGCTTGTAAAAGTTGTCATAGACCAGCCTGCTGTATTGGATATTATGAGACAATATTGCCAATAATCTACCACTTCAGACCTACAAAGCAGTTTTAGTATAAGGGTCCATGATTCACTGAAGAATGACACTCCGGACTCAAATAGTATGTAAGCACAAAGAGTGTTTTATTCTGCAGAAGTCCAGCATGCTGGGGTCTCTCCATTACCAAGATAGACACCAAGTGAGCTTGCAGGCCTGGTTTAAAGCACATTAGGGAATTGCGGGGTAGGTGACCTCTATATTAATCTGCTGGGTCCATCTCTATGGACTTTCCATTGCCAGGGTGTGGGGGCTGGAAACTTGCTGGGGAAGTCTGGGAACTGTTACTGAGGAAGTCTGGAAACGGCTGCTGACCCTTGTCCTTGCTTCAGGTCAGGTGGCTGGGACATTCCATGACCTAGGAGGTGAAGTCTGGAGCCTGGATTTTTTTTCTATTAGTAATTGACTTGCCTGGGCTTGCCTGGACTTGCCCAGGTTTTAGGCCTAGTCTCCTTAACTGCCAAGGTAAAGTCTGACACGGAATCAGACTAGCCTTCTCATCAGCCTCCACCTTCCTAATTCTGTGACCCTTTTAGTACAGTTTCTCATGTTGCGGTGATGCCCCCTAACCATAAAATTAGTTTTGTTGCTTCTTCATAGCTGTAATTTTGCTACGGTTGTGAAATGTAATGTAAATATCTGATGTAAATATGCAGGGTATCTGATATGTGACCCCTGTGTGGATCGGGACCCACAGGAGGAGAACCACTGTCTTAGGGGATGCTTTGCTAGTTTGTAGATCATTTCAATTCAAGCCAGGGGGAAGGGGGAATCTATTTCTCTTCCTTTTGACTCCTTTCCCTTTTCTCTCTCTAACGGACTTGCTGACCAGTTTTCCTTCCCTCCCCTCTCCTTCCCCCTTCCTCTTTCCTATCTCTCCTCTGTTGAAGTAAATTACCTCCATACACGTTGCATTGACTAGCAATAAAAGCGTGTCCCAGTATTCTCAGTTGATAATCGCTGTGCCGACCTCTCCAGGAGCTGGCAGGATATGTAGATATTTGTTCCTTCCTCGCCTGCCCAAGGTACTCCGTGATTGGCTTAATAACGAGCTGACAGCCAATAGCTGGGTAGAAAGTGGAGGGCGGAACTTATGGGCAGATAAGGGGTCTCGGGGAAAAGAAATCAGAACTGGGGGACTTGCCAGCAGAACGCGAAGATGGATGGACTTAAACAGGTGCAGAGAGGTAGAGAAGGGGTCTCGGGGAGAAGAAATCAGAACTGGGGGACTTGCCAGCAGAACACGAAGATGGATGGACTTAAACAGGTGCAGAGAGGTAAAGAACTAGCCACGTGGCAGGTCGTGGCTAGGATAGTCGGATTAATTAAGATTACCTAGCTAGCGGCCCAAGCTATAATAAAAATTAACAAGCCTCTGTGTCATTATTTAAGTACTGGCAGGTCCAGAAAGTCCCACAATACTCCTCTTCCCCCTCTCCCCTTCCCCCATGCTTTCTTAATTCCATACATACATATATATATATATATATATATATATATATATATATATATACACATACATACATATATATGGTATTATATAAAGGATACAGCATCCTGTCTGCCTTCATGTTGCCTGTAAGCCAGAAGAGGGCACCAGATCTCTTTACAGATGGTTGTGAGCCACCATGTGGTAGCTGGGAATGGAACTGGGGACCTCTGGGCTGTCTCTCTGCCTTACCCCCAGGACCGTTCTTAAGGAAGTAGAGCAAACAGAGTCATCGTCCATTCTTCAGGTCTCAAAAGAACTTCAGAATGCACTGGCATGCACTCAGTGCCTTCCGCCCTCCTCCACACCCTCTCTCTTTCTTTGGAATACAGACAGGTCTCAGAAGGGATGAGCAAAGGCCAGGGGAACGCAGAGCATACCGTCCAACCCTGTCCAAGAGTCAGGGGAGGAGTCCAGTCCCAGAAACACCAACCTTGTGTGCTTCCCACATCTTTTCCCAGCCTGAGTTCCTAGTATCTTTATGTGGTAACAAAGAAAGGGGGAATGGTTTATACCTCTTTACTTATTGTTTAGTTATTCCCATCTTATGTTTAATAGAAAATTTTTTGTTAGCAAAAGCTAAAATTCTGTATTTGTTTTTCTGACTCTATAAGCGACACCCTGGAGAAACTACTCCCCTGCTCAATGTGCCTGAACTGGAAAGTCATCTGCACACAGGTAAATAAGGATCACACACAAGAATCTGCTGATCTTCCATGATGTTAGCCCATCAGGACCACAGCACAGTTAGCTGTCGTGATGGAGGAGGCTGGTGGACAGCCCTACCCAAGAAATGCAGTTTAGAGGAACGAACGGCATGTCCCTAAATGAAAGAGAGGAACATGTTCATGAAGGGAGACAATGAACAGGACCGTGGAGAAAAATGTTCAGTGGAGGACCAATAGGAAAATATCCAGGGTCCCTGGAAGGAGATCCAATGATGGTAGATTATCCAGTGAGGTGTGTGGCCTGGGAGGAAGGTTGGAAGACCTTCATTAACACCCAGTCTGTAGGTATAAGCATTCCTGCTTAGAGAAAAGTAGAACACTGATAGGCCAGGTAGGAAAGGAAAGGGATGATGAGACTTCCAGCTACAGGACCCAGGAGGAAGAAGTGGTCCAATCTGTGAATTTGCTTCAGGTCCCTCATCTACTTGAAGATACCAAAGAACTTCCATTGTGTTTCTGACTTTCCAAAGATGAGTAAGTAGCGGGCTTCTACAGAGAGAGCAGTAAGGCCAAAGTGGTTAGCGTTACAAAATGTATCACAAGCCACTGGTTGAATGGTGTTCACAGAAGATACAAAGACCTTTCGTCCCAATTGTTTAGACTTAGCCAGTGAGGTTGGAGAATGAGGTGGAGCCAGGGAGTGGTAAAGCATGAAATAACCAACCGTGACTAACCGCTGAGTTCAGCCTCAGTGAATTCATTCTGCAAACAGAGCTGTCATCCAGACACAGCTAGTGCAAGCCTTCCAAATGTGCTACATGTCACAACACAGGGCTGCAAATCTCTGCTTTGTCTCCAAGGTCATAATCAACTGTATCGGGGTGCAGCCTTTGGGATGGTTGGTTGACATGGAATGGTAGCCTCCAGTGATGTTAGTTTTGATGAAAGTAGAAGATTGTGCACGAGTTATTTGTTGTGTTGTCGAGGGTGAATTTGAGGAGTTAAAAGGGCTTAAATGCTGTTGTTGATTTTAGTTCAAAGAACATGCCACAACAGAATCTAGATACCTGTTAGGATAGACCCAAATCCCTATTCTATTTCCATTATTACTTAAGATGAGGCAAGCCCTTTGTGGGCCTGCAGTGCCATAATGATGACAGTATTTGGTGATCGGAAAGAGCCTGTTGGGCCCTTTCCTCTGAGAAGACAGAGCTGCGGGGAGAAAAACATCAGAGGCTGTTTATGCCACATACCATAGCAGGTAGGAAAGAAAAACAATAAATTAAGTAGGGGTTATATTCATTTACTGTCTTTTTATTTTTCTTTAACCACTAATCCCAGCCTTCTGAAGACATAAAAGAATTTGTTGGGATGCATCTCAGTTTGTACAGTTACAAACTCTACAAACTGCCTACCATGCATGGAGCCCTGAATTCAGTCATTACATCGAACCAGATTTGGAGGTACACACCCATAACCCCAGCAGCTAGGAGGTGTGGGCAGCAAGATCAGAAATTCAGTGACGTCCTCTTCTACGTTGTGGGTACTAGAATACAAGTTGGAGACCCTCTCTTTCAAGAAAAAGATAAGAACCAGGTGATCCCCAAACTTGGGAGGCAAAGGTAGGCAGATCTCTCTGTGAGTTCGAGGCCAGCATGGTTTATAGAACTAGTTCCAGGACAGCCAAGGTTACACAAAGAAACCTTGTCTTTAAAATAATAAATGAATAAATAAATAAATAAGTATTAAATATTAAGTAACTATAATAAAAGGGTATATCAAAGGACAGTTCAACTTACTGCTTCTCCTGTGAGCTCAAATGCCCAAGTGTCATACTGATGGAAAATTTAACAAACATGGTATTTTGAAGATGGGTCATATACTTTAGAAAGTCCAAGCATGTACATTAGCCATGTACTGGGGTAATGTTTGCCATAGACCAGGTTTCTCAACCTAAACACCATTGTCAAATTAGACTGAAGGACACTTGTTTTAGGGAACTGTGCTGTTACCTGCAGAACAATCCTTGGCATTGTTGGCAATTCTCCTTAGAGGAGATAGCAAACTGCCTCCTCACCCAAGGTTTTGGCCATTAAACTGTGTCAAATGTCCTCAGGGAGACAAAGACAAAAACTACATTCAGACTTAGTGGTTTAAATCGACTGTATCTTACAAAATTGACAACGTGGACGAACACAGAGAAGAGAGATGGTGTCTGCATCTTAAAGTCGAGGGGCTCAGACGCCTTGACGTGAGAAGCTGGACCGTGGCTAAGCATTTCTCTGTTCTTGCTACCTGTCTAGCTTAAGCCTCCTTTTAGTCTGGTCAGTCAGAATTCTCATGTGCTTCTACGACAGGGTACAAGCTCCCAGTCTTACAGGCTAGAGCTAGCTTCAGCCTGGTATCATTTCTGTTATTCTATTAGATGCAGTAGTCACAGGCTAGTCCAGATCAAAGATGGGGAAATTTGCTTCCCTCACAGTGGAAGGAGGTTGTTGGCCTGTCTGGGGGAAGCTCCTGAAAAATGTACTTCACTATAACGCCAACACAGAAGAAGAGCTAAGCTCTAAATTATCAGAGGCTAGCATAAGTAGATAGCAATAGTAAAGTGAACCCACAAAATCCAACGTGGAAGGGGACGTAGGAAGACAACTGAGCAGCTCTGACAATTAGACAGCAAGAACACCAAGAGATGAATACAATGGAAAACTGAGATGAACTTGCTTGACTGCCTAATATCTCTAAGCATATTGAGACAAAACTAATACTACGATAGGAGGGTTCGATAGTGAATTATTGATAAGTAATTTAAAATGTATAGCGGTAATGTTTTTGAATCAGTGTCTTAAAGAGAAATTTCGCACCTGGCATTTTCTTTTAAAAAATAACTGGGAGGAGTGAGGTGGTACACACCTTTAATTCCAGTGCTCTGGAGACAGAGGCAGATGGATTTCTGTGCATTCAAGGCCAGTTTAGTCTACTTTAGAGAGCTCCAGGGCGGCCAGAAGGACAGGGGGAGAACCTGTCATAAAAGTTAAAAAGGGCAGGAAAGGATTTATGCAAAAATGTAGTGATACAGTTGGTAATGTTATTATGGGGGAACAATTAAACTCATCTATGACCGCAACAGCTGGGCTGGCACCATCAACCAATGGCTATAGTGAGAGGTGGGTGGTTGGGAAATTACTAGGAATTACCTGGTACTAGTGGTTGGGGTCTTGGCTGGGTGTTCCTTGATTCTTGGCACATTATGTAAGAATGAACTGAAGGTGCACACGGATTGCAAAATACCAAGCATTCTCTATTCCCAGCAAAGCAATAGATCAGAAATGCGCAGCTAAGAGTGGCAGCTGGCCAGATGAATGAGGGGACTCTAGCGCCCCACTAGGTTTTGGGGGGCTTTCTTTTCTGGAGTTCAAAAGAAGAAGGAGTTTGGTTGCTAGAGGTAGTGATATGAATGTGACTGTCCCCATAAGCTCATGTATTTGAACATTTGATCTCAGTTGATGACGCTATTTGAGGAGATTTAGGATGGGTAGCATTACTGGAGGAAATATGTGACTGCCAGGCTGTTTTAGTTAATGTTCTATTGGTGTGAAGAGACACCATGACCACAGCAACTCTTACAAAGGAAAAAAATTCATTGGGGCTTGCTTACAGGTTCAGAGGTTTAGTCCAGCATCAGCATGGCCCGAAGCATGGTGGCATACAAGCAGACAGGGTGCTAGAGGAGCTGAGAGTTCTACATCTGGATCCAATGACAGCAGGAAGAGAGAGAGGCCTCTGGGTCTGGCTTGGGCATCTGAAACTTCAAAGCCCACCTCTGGTAACATACTTCTTCCAACAAGACCAC